CCCTCTGACATCACATCCTTCAGATGACATCACATCCTTCCTGTGACATTCTATCTCCCCTATGACGTCAAAGCTCCCCAGTGACATCATATCCTTCCTGTGAAATCAAACCTCCCCTATGACTTCACATTCTTCCAGTGACATCACACCTCCCCTGTGACATCACATCTCATATATGATGTCAAATCCATCATATCACATGACATCCTTCCTGTGACATCACATATCCCTTATGATGTCACATCATTCCTGTGACATCACACCTGCCCTGTGACATCACATCCTTCCTGGGACATCACATCCTTCCTGTGACATCATATCCCCCACTGTGACATCACGTCATCCCCTATGACATCACATCTTCCCTATGATGTCACATCCATCATATGACATCACACCTCTCCTGTGATATCATATCATCCCTGTGACATCCCGTGCTTCCTGTGACATCACATCCTCCCTGTGACATCACACCTCCTCTGTGACATCATATCCTTATAGTGACATCACATCTCCATCGTGATATCACATACTTGTTGTGACATCAGGGGCCTCTATGATGTCACATCCATCATTTGACATCACACCTGCCCGGTGACTTCACATCTCCCCTATGACATCACAACTCTTCTGTGAAATCACATCCTCCCCCGTGACATCACGTCTCTTCTGTGAAATCACATCCTCCCCCGTGACATCACATCCCTCCTGTGACATCACATCTCACTTACGAAGTCACACCCATCACATGATATCACACCTCTCCTGTGATATCATATCACCCCTGTGACATCACGTCCTCCCCTGCGACATCATATTCTCCTGGTGACATCATAGCTCCCCTGTAACATCACTCCCTCCCCTATGACATCACATCCATCATATGACTTCACATCTCCCCTGTGACATCACATCCAGTGACATCCAGATCCATCCCAACGTTGGGTGTGTGTGTGAGACAGGCAGAACCACAAATGCCTGCACAACCCAGAGCAGTCAGTGTGGTGCTGTGCTTGCTGCTCCAGCGACCCCCAGGGAACAAATTCAGGCAATAGTTTGGGTTTATTCATTGCTCTGTGTCAATGGAATAGAATGTTCCACAGGAGCTCTGTCCCCCTCTGTGGCACCTGGTGACTCAAAGCTGAAGAGGTGTGGGGGGAGTCAAGTGCAAGTTCCCATCTGAAGTGTGTCCCTAAAGAGGACACTTGCCTTATTATTGCTTATTATTTGTAATATCTTTTAGATCTATCATACAACACCTAAGGATGGATTCTATAGAATATGTGCCATACATATTTGTGTTGGATCTGGCTGAGCTGCAGTTCAGTTCCCCACAGCAGCCCTCCCAGGGCTGTGCTTGGCATTGGCAGCTGGAAGGGTGTTGAGAACGCACCGGTGTTTTGGCCACTGCTGAGCACAGCACCAACACTGGGACATTCCTTCCTTAGCTGAGGGCAAGACCCTGGGAGGGGACCCAAGTAGGTCAGCTGAGCCCAACTGACCAAAGGGACACTGCAGACCATGTGAGGTCAGCTCAGCTCTAAAAGCTGAGGCACAGAGCAGGAGGGGGGCATTCATTGTCTAATGGCTGCCTGCTGAGGAACCGTCCCGCGGACCCAAGCCCTGCTCCTCGGGAGTGGCCAAGCATGGCTGCTCATGGGAAGTAGAGAACAAACCCTGCTATCTTTGGCTTCTGCACACACAAGCATCGCTTTGCTTTTTGCTTTAAATAAACTGCCTTATCTCAACCCACTATTTTTTTCTTTTCACCTTACTCTCTCCCCTGTCCCGCTGGGAAGGGGAGTGATAGAACGGCTGCGAGGGCACCTGGTGTCCAGCCAAAGTCAACCCACCACACACCTGAACACTTCCAGACTCCACCACCTCCCTGGGCTACTTGTTCCAATGCCTCAACACTCTCTCAGTGGAAAAAGGGTTTTTTAACATCTAATCTGAGCCTCCCCTGATGCAACTTAAGGCTGTTTCCTCTCTTCCTGTCACTAAAGACTTTGCAGAAGAGACCGACCCCCACCGCACTAAAACCTCCTTTCAGGTCATTGTAGAGAGCAATGAGGTCCCCCTGAGCCTCCCCTTCTCCAGACTCAACAAGCCCAGTTCCCTCAGCCGTCCCTCAGCAGACATGTTTTCCAGAGCCTTCCCCAGCTCCGTTCCCTTCTCTGGACACACTCCAGCCCCTCAAGGGCCTTTTTGCTCTGAGGGGTCAGAACTGGACACAGCACTCGAGGTGGGGCCTCCCCAGTGCCCAGCACAGAGGGGCAATCAGTTCTCTGCTCCTGCTGGCCACACTCTTCTCCACAAAGGCCAGGATGCCCTTGGCCTTCTTGCCCCCCTGGGCACACTCTGGCTCATATCCAGCTGCTGTCAAGCAGAACCCCCAAGTCCCTTCCTGCTGAGAAGCTCTCCAGCCCCTCTGCCCCCAGCCTGGAGCATTCCAGGGGGTTGTTGGGACCCAAGTGCAGGATCTGACACTTGGCCTTATTGATTCAGCCTGTCCAGATCCCAGAGCTCGAGGCAGCTCTGCAGGTGGGGCAGCATTACAGCCACACATGTTCCAGCAAGGACATGGTGGAACCTCATGGAATTAAGGACCATTGGGACACTGCAGGGCCTTCAAGAGCCAAAGGAGCTCTGGGACACTGGGCAATCTCATGGAATCAAGGCAGCACGGTCACCCTGGGAAAACTCCTGGAATTCAGGGCCCATCGTGACACTGCAGGTCCTCATGGAACAAAAGGAACCCTGGGACGCTGCAGAAACTCATGGAACCAAGGGACCACTGTGCCATTGAGGGGGCTGATGGAATCAGGAGTCCATTGGGACAATCCAGGGCCTCATGAAATCAAAGGAATTCTGAGACACTGTTGAACCTCCTGGAACCAAGGGTTCCTGCTGACATGTGTGTCCTCCTGGAACCAAGGGAGCCCTGAGATATTTCTGAACCTCCCAGAATCCAGGGGCCATTGTGACCCTGCAGAACCTCCTGGATTCAAGTGGTCCTTGTGAAACTGCAGGCTCTCCTGGAACCCAAGGATTCCTGGAACACTGCAGAGCTGATGGAACCAAGGGGCCACTGTCCCACTGCAGCTCCTTCTGAAGCACAAGGGACCCTGGGACAATGGGAAATCTCATGGAATCCAAAGGGCATTTTGGGACTGCAGGGCCTCTTGGAACTAAAGGACCCTTTGGAGACTGTGGAAGCTCATGGAATCAAGCGGCCATTGTGACATGTGGGGCCTCCCGGAACCAAAGCAACCCTGAGAAGTTTTATGGGAACAAGATAAGGCAGCAGCAGCTGCATTCAGTTAATCAGGATCAACAAGGAGTGTTTTGACATGACTGGTGTTTTCCATCAAGAGAGTGCTGTTTGCCAAAGTGGAAACCACTTGGAACGTGGTTGGCATGGTAGCCTGTGTTTTTCTCTGGTGGCTGAACACAGCCAGCACATGAGGGGAGGGGAATGTGTGGGATCAGGGCACTGCTTTGGGGCCATACTGGGAATTCCGGTGGACTAAAAGACAAAGCCCAGGTGCTGTTTCCAAAGGAACCCCAATGAAAGGGGGACGTGGGAAAGATGGGCGGACAAGTCCCGCAATGGAACTCTGTGTGTGCAGCCTCATTTTCTCCTTCAGTAGCCATAGGAGAGGGGGCAAAAAGTGGGGGTTGGGAGCCCAAAACTGATTTGGGGGGAAATTGGAGATTGGGGGGACAATGGGAAAGTGGAAGGAACAGGGAGAAGGGTGGAAAAGGAGGGGTGGTCTGGCCGGTCTGACGGTCCCATGGGGGTCTTTTGGCAGAGGGGGGCTGGCAAAGGGGGGTGGCCCCCTGAGCTCCCAACTCACTGTGGAGTTCTGGGGGCTGCTGGATACAATCACAGCCTTGCATTATGACAGCAGTTTCAGTTTAGAGGAATTAGAGAGGTGTGACTGAAACACTTTTGTCCCCCACCTTTTAATGATGGCAAATCAGATCTATTGACTGAAGTTAATTTATTTAGGGTTACAAATGATGAGACAAAAGATCTTCATCAGAATCATTTACTGCACAATAGAAACACTAAAACCACCATGAGTACAGGATAAGATAGGACAGTGCTTTATACTAAAGCAATTGTTGAAGCTCATGGGGAAATCTCTGCTCTCAACCTCCAGGAGTGACCTTGGGGGGGTCCCCCGCCAAGGCAGGAATCTCCACACACCCCCTCAGGAAGGGTTCCGCTGGAAGAAGCTGCCTCTGAGAGAGGGGACTGGCCCTTTCTGGTCAAAAGGGATGGACTGACAGTCACTGGACTCCAGGGGTTGCCTCACCATCAGGGGGTTCATTCGGGGTGGAAGCAGCGGCCGAAGCTCTTCCCGCAGTCGGGGCACTTATAGGGCTTTCCCTTAGCAATGGGTCCGTTGGTGTCTGGTCAAGGTAGAGCTGTGGCTGAAGCTCTTCCCACACTCCCCACACTTGTAGGGCCTCTCCCCGGTGTGGATGCGCTGGTGGGTGACGAGGTGGGAGTTCCGGTTGAAGCCCTTCCCGCAGTCGGTGCAGCGGAAGGGTCTCTCATCCGTGTGTGTCCGCTGGTGCACGAGGAGATTGGAGCTGGTCTGAAACCTCTTCCCACATTCCAAGCACATGTAAGGCTGTTCCCCAGTGTGGATGCTTTGGTGTCGGAGCAAGTCACAGCTGTTCCTGCAGCTCTTCCCACATTCCCCACATGTGTAGGGCCATGCCCCAGTGTGGATGCGCTGGTGATGGATCAGGGTGGAGCTGTGCCTGAAGCTCTTCCCACATACCCTACACGTGTAGGGACGTTCCCCAGTGTGGATATGCTGGTGGCTGAGGAGGTTGGTGCTCTTCCTGAAGCTCTTCCCACATTCCAAGCATTTGAAGGGCTTCTCCCTGCTGCGAGGCTGCTCAGGGACCACCAGGTCAGAGCTCCCCCTCAAGCTCTGGCCGCCTTCCCGGCACAGGTTGGGTCTTTCCTCCTCAGAGCACCCTGGGCTGGCTTTGGAGCCCCTCCTGCAGGGGGATCTCCGGGCCTTTTCCTCCCAGCTGCCTTCCTGCGCCGTGGAGCCTTTCAAAACGGCCTCTCCCACCAGGTTCTCACGGGGGGATTTGTCCTCTGGGCTCTCCATCCTCAGCTCGGGGCCTGGGGCAGGAAGCAAGAAGGACACGCAGGGGATTTGCCTCCGGCCCAGAGGGAAGGCCAAGGACATCCCCCCAACTCCGGCCCCGGCAGGACGGCGGCGGCAGCGGGGTTGTCCTGCAGCCGGGGGCCATGCTCGGCTGCCAGAGCCAGCACAACACCGGCCCAAAGGGCCACTGACTTCGTCCTCACCTGCCTGGGGGGCCCGCGGCATCTTCCTCTTCCTCGCAGCCTCCTCCTCCATCCACCCAAGCTTTGGGAAGGGGAAATCCTGATGGGGGAGGGGAAAACAAGTCCATCTCTAGAACTCACCGGGCATCCTGTGTTCTTAAAAACCTCCAAAACACCAAGATGCAGGTAAAAAACCTCTCCGAAACAGCAAGATGAACTCCCTCACAAACTGCAAAAAGTTAAGGTTCAGCCAGTAAAATACACTAAAATATCAAGATTATCCCCAAAAAAAGGTGTTTAATTTGGCGGATGAGGGGAGTGAGATGATTTCATGAGCACTTGATTGAGTTGCTTTAAATTAATCAAGAGCTGTATTAATGTAGTGTCACTTAAAACTTGCCAGGGCTGTTACGTGAGGTTATCTGACCATCTGCCAGTCCAGGGCTGTTTCTGAAAACCACCAAACCAAGTGTACCAAATGCCCTTGTTGTTTAATCCAACCCAGTTTTCCCCTGCTGCTGCCTCTGCTCCTGGCCCTGTCTTTGCTGCTCCCTTGGCTCTGCCAGTGGCTGCAGGGGGGGATGGCAGCAGCTTCAGCTCCACAGCAGTTCCTGGGGGGAGCTCAGCCTGGGGGGGATGGGCAGGGACCTGATGGAGATGGACAGGGGCCCAGCAGGGACAGCCAGGGTCTGCAGGGGAAGGCACAGGGACAACTTGGCCCCCCACACTGCCAGGGCTGTCTCTGCTCCTCCTTGCAGGCTCCGTGGCCAGGTAGAGTTTGTGTTCCTGGGTGCCCACCGTCTCAGCACTTGGAGCCGCTAAAATCAGCGCCCGCAGCTCTGCAGCAAAGCCCCAGCTCACCTGGCACACAGGGGATGGAGACAGCACCTTCTCAGGGATGGGCACCTTCGTCTGTTCCCCACCACGAGGCTCTCCTTCCTCAGCACCACCTCTGCCTTGCACTTATTCTCAGGCTCACCTCAGGGACAGCTCTGGGCTCACCTCTGCGCCACTTTTCAGCCTCACCTCAGGGCCTGGGCTCAAGGACAGGAACCTGCAGGGAGGGGACATCATGTGCAAGCTGAGGGCTGCCTGCTTGCACTGGCCTCTGGGCTTCTTTCTCCTTCTACAACCATCCCAGAACTTAGCCTGCTTTTCTAACACCACACATTTACAGACTAACCTTGCAGATATATATGGACAGACATCTCTACCACCCTGAGGATAGAGCCTCAAGCAGGTGCTGCCATAGGAATGGCAATCAGAGAATCACAGAATCAGCCAGGTTGGAAAAGACCTCTGAGATCATCAAGTGCAACCCTTCATCCAACCCCACCGTGCTTCCCAGACTATGGCAGTGAGGCCACATCCACTCTCACCTTCAACACCTCCAGGGACGCTGACTCCACCCCCTCCCTGCCCAGCCCATTCCAAGGCCTGATTACTCTCTCAGCAAAAATTCCTTCCTAATATCCAACCTAAACCTCCCCTGGCACAGCTCAAGACCCAGCCCTCTTGTCCTACTGCTGCTTCCTGGCACAAGAGCCCCACCCCCACCTGGCTACAACCTCCTGGCAGGGACTTGCAGAGACTCAGGAGGTCTCCCCTGAGCCTCCTCTTCTCCAGCCTCAACAACCCCAGCTCCCTCAGCCTCTCCTCACACCACCTGTGCTCCACTCCTTTCCCCAGCCTCACTGCTCTTCTCTGCACCTGTTCCAGCCCCTCCATGGCCTTCCTCAACTCAGGGGCCCAGAGCTGGACACAGCACTCCAGGGGTGGCCTCACCAGCGCTCAGTCCAGCCCAACAATCACTTCCCTGCTCCTGTTGCCACACTCTTCTTTAGCCAGGCCACCAGCCATTGGCCCTCTTGGCCACCTGGGCACACTCTGCCTCCTCTTCAGCTTCCTGGCAATCCACACTCGCAGTTCCCTTTCTGCCTGGCTGCTCTCCAGCCACTCTGGCCCCAGCCCGGGGCTCTGCCAGGGCTTTTTGTGGCCAAAGGGCAGGACCCGGCCCTTGGCCTGCTTGCACCTCATTCCCTTGCAATCAGCCCATGGATCCAGCTTGGCCAGGTCCCTCTGCAGAGCCCTCCTGCCTTCCAGCTGATGCCTTAAGCCCCTATTAGTTTTTATTTTTCTAATTTTTGTAAAGTTTTATAAGTAATAGAAGTAGATTTTAAAAGCAGCCCCTTATCCCTCTTCTTCCCTGTAGCACCCCTTAGTTTACACATTCCTTAACCCTCTTACCCCATTCCATACACTCTATATCAGCCTTACCCCCATATCCAGTAGAAGATGTTTAGTCTCTTGTCAAGGCAAGCCTGTTCTGTTTGGAGAACGCTTGTATCTTGGCCTAAACCGCAGGACAAAGTCAAAGAACTGGGTGACTGTGCTCTCTGTACCCCGAAGATGATGAAGGTTGATGAAGAGAGGGTCCCAAAATGCACCCCAGACCCAATTTCACGGGGTGGGCCAGGGGGTGGATCAGGCCAAAAGTTACGGGGTGGACACACTTGGGATTGGCCAGATATTGTTATAAAATGTAACATCTCGGGCACAGGCTCGCACGTCATGGTAACATCTTTTGCCTTGGCATAATTAAACCCTTTCCTTATCTCACCCTCGATTAACGACTCCTGGATTTTTTCTTAGCACCAGCTGAGAAGGCATCACAGTACATCAACACACCCCCAGCTTGGTGTCAGCTGCAAATTTGCTGATGAAATGCCTGGTTCTGCAGCAGCTGCAGATGCTCAAGGGGCAGCAGGACCAAGTCAGGGGCCTGGGGGGGGCTGGGGGGCTTTGGGGTGCAGGAGGGTCCTGGGGGAGCTGGGGAGGGGCTTTGGGGTACAGACCAGGACAGACCAGTACCTCCTCACTGCTCCCCAGATCTCTCCTGGAGCTGGGACACGTTGTCCTGGGACACCTGAGCCCCCCCCCAGTGCCCTCCCAGTACAGCCCAGTGCCCCCAGTACAGCCCACTGTGTTCCTGTCCCAGGGTGCCGGGTGATCCCTCTTGGAGGGGTTGGAAAGGATTTGAGGGGGTGGCTGGGGGAGATTGGGGGGGATCTGGGGAGTTTGGATGGGGATTTGGGGGGTTTTGGGTGCATTTGGGGGAGTTAAATGATAAAATCAACCCCAAAGCTGATCAATGCAGGTGCCACATGTCTGCAGCATGGAAACAGCCCAGCTGGAGCTGGGGGAGATCTGCCCAGCCCCAAAAGCACAGGGGGTGGAGGCAAAGGGAAGGAGGGAATCGGAAGAGAAGGACACAGTTGGAGTGTCATTCCCTGCTGGGAAAACTCTGCAGTTTGATGAGCAGGGACTCACATTAAGCCTCAGTTCAAAGCAACCTTGAGGTGGCCCTTTCTGATGTGTGGGGTTGGGCTGAGCCCCAGCTGGCTGCAATTTAGGAAAGGGAGCAGCAAAGAGGGCACCTCTGTGCCTCCCATTGCCAGAGTCTGAAGACACAACTGTTCAGGAAGGAGATTCACTTCTCTCATCTCTTGCCATCCACAACACCCACCCAAAACCAAGAACAGACACAGTGTGAGCTCACTGACAGATGTGCTGAACAGCCTGGGAGAGGGGAAGAAAAGAAGAAAGTAGCACTGATGAAAATGACAATCAGTTCAATACTGCAGAGCTTAGGGAAGAATTCTGGTTTCATTAGAACAACTCCCAATTTTCCACACAAGCACTTTTGCAATCCTACCCTTGTATCCCCATGAAATCATCTTTCTGGACAAAAGGAACTGGAATGGACAATGCACAGCTTGCCACTGACACTATTTAATTAGCTGGGTCACTGATGAGAGATGTAGGAGAGCTCTTTCCTCCTCCCTGCTCTATCCTGCTGTCTCCTGAAACTGCCTCTAGAAAAAAAATGGTCGCAATTTTTCATTTAAGAACTTTGTTTAAAACATTTCCTGCTCTTCATCAGAATCAGAGATTATATTATTCGGAAGTTAGATAGATATCATGCAAATGTTTGAGAATTTGGAATATTTTTAAATGTGATTTTTTCCACAACGAGCTTTTTTTAAAAAACTACTTTTAATTTTTCTTTTCATTTTTAAATTCCCATGAAGTGGCATAAGAGAATGTAAGAGAAGAAAAATGAAAAAGAAGACGTAGAACAAAAACAATCCCATTGGAAAAGAATGCTGGTGGAAAGAAGGAAAGAAGCAAAGGAGAGGAAAAAAAGAGAGAGAGATAAGAGAGGAGAGAGAGAAAGAAAGGAGAGAAAGGAGAGAAAGAAGAGAGAGAAAAGAGAGAGAAGAAGGAGGAGAAGGAGAAGAGAGAAGAACAACTGATGTATCCAAAGGACTGAAATTTGACGTAAAGGAAATCTTTCAAAAAAAGTTTTGTGATGTGACTCTCAATGCAATACTAAGCACAATGGAAAAACAAATCTGTCTCACAGGGAAAAATCTCGTATATTCAGGTTTGATCTTTTCTCCTAATTAATTCTGACCTAACATCAGTTTGCTGTGTTTGCTGATTATTCATTCCTCTAAGGAGGCCTGTTGGCTTCAGTGATCCACTTGCATGAACAAATTCTTTCAGATGCAAATATAAGTTGTATGATAGGATTCCTACTTGTTTGCATGATTAGATCAGGGATCCTATGATGAGGTTCAACATCCAGTCCCAGAGGTGTTGCTGCCTAAACTAACAGTGACTGAGATCCCCTGGCTGCAGGAACCATCTCCTGTAGATATTGAACCAACAGCAGCAGCTACAGGTCCGTAGGGTCAATGTTGGCTGCTGGGAACAAGCCCAAGCCCATAGGCAGAGGCAGTGCAGGATTCCATAGGCAGAGGCAATGCACTATTCCATAGGCAAACAAGTGGATAGGAAAGGGCAGGTGCTTAAGAGTCCAAAGCAAAATCTCACATCTTTCTTTCACTGCTGAACATTCCTGTGTTGTGCAAATCACAGACAGAGCACATGAGAGCTTAAAGAAGCACTTCACTGCTCAGGCCATTCTTTTTTCAGAGTATCTTCCCTTTTCTGTTTTACACAGGAAATACAAACCAATTCTTTGAGGCTCTGCTCTGTAGATGAGTCAGCACCAAGTTAATGAGTCAGCACCAAGAACCCCCCAGAGACAACTCTGCAATGCAACACAGAATCAGCAGCCACCACAATCTTCACCTATCTTGTTATGACTTGGGAATCCAGTCCTTTTCTGTTCTTTGTAGGTGATGATTGAACCTCACCTTCCTGCTTCCATCTGAGCAGCAGCCTGTCTTTGCTCTCTCTCTTTGCCCCTATTTTTTCAACATAATCTTGCTCCTTTCTGCACAGAGGACCTCTCATTCCCCTCCATACTTAGGGCTTTGATGGTCAGAGGAAGGGAACAAATGGATTTAACTGGAGTATTATCAGCAGTGATTGCAAATTTATTTTCTGTTAGCCTACCATCCCTTACTACAAAGCAATCCTAAAATAATGGGGTCTTCTATCTGCCGCTTCATCAGAAACAGCACTCCTTGAGAAGAAAAATGGATAGCCAAGAATGTCATGCAGAAGATTTTCTCCCAGAATTTTGCAGTTTTACATCCTCTGCATTACTTCAAGTCATTTACCTAATTACATTAATTCTAAAGAAATTAGTTTTCCAGATTTTTTACTGCTTGGCAACTTCAAATTAATGTGAAGCACTGACCAGGATACTATTTTTTTTACAACTTCCACCAAAGCAGTTTAAGACGACAAATAGAGCAAATTTATTCCTTTTCGAAAAAACATAGAACTCAAATAAATTTACTCCTACCTCTGAGGCATGAAATTTGTCACTAATCATTTTAAACTGTGCCCTTTTATGCTCCTTCCATCTCTTTTAGGTTTCCATGCAGTTCTTGGATGTAACAAAGGCAGTTTCAGACAAGATTTCAGATCATGTGGAAAAAAAAGCTTTAAGTGCTGAGGCAAAAAGCAGTGTATTTAAAATTTATATACTCCATAATGCCTTTGTTCTGAACTTGAACATCCTGAAAACTTCTCTGCTTTCTTTTGCCTTCCCACTCTGAAGATCATTTGTTCTCACGGTTTCAGCCTCTTATTGTGCCACAGTGACTTTAACTGGCAGTTCCAGCATTTAAGCCCATGCACAGTCCTGGCTGACCCTTCCTGATCAACTGCCAACCCACACAGGTTTGGCTGATAAAAGAGACAATTCGATTTCAGCAAATTAAGGGACATCACCAATGTCAACCCCTTCTTCAACTGAGTGCTGAATTCCATGCACACCAAACACTAATGCACCAAGTCCCATCAAGAGTTGGAATCCCAACCCCGTTAGGAACTCCAGAGCACTGCAGGGGAAGGGTCAAAAGAAAGTTTCATATTTATGGATTAACATTTGGATTCAGTTTTTATGTTTTTAATCTTTTCAAGAACTCTTGAACCTGCACTGCAATTCCAGTCAAGAGCTTGGATAAAATAAATTCCTTATTTCTAACAGGTTTTTTTCAAGCGTTGACTTAAAGCATGGCAAATAAGATTGGTAAGAGATTAAGATGCATTCAGTCAGGTAACACCAAGGATTTGGTGTGCTTAACATTATATGCAATATGTCTTAAATTTAAAAAAAAAAAGAAACAAAAGAAATGCATGTTGGGGGAAAATATTGTCTCATAATTGTAAAACAGTGATCAGCAGTGACTTCACAATGGAACATTCCTTTGTCCTCTGTCACTCTCCCTTTTATACAATCTTCCATCCAGTTCCATCAAGTACTCCCCACAATGGAAATTTCTGAAACAGCTTTTTTTTTCTTATTCTTGAAAAGAGAATGCTGCATGTTCACACTCATTAAAAGGCTGTGATTTTGTACCTAATGAGACCTCTCTCACTCTTTGATCAAACAAACCTTCTGTCTAAGTGAAATCTTGGCCACTGAAGTAAAAAATAAAACTTCTTCTTATTTTAGTGGCACCCAGATTTCATTTAATGATTTACAAAGTGTGAAGGCACAGTGTAAAATTACCATTATACTCATAATTTACCATGCAGTGGAATTGTAGAGCATTTAAAGAGCCATTGTAATAAACATCACAGTAAAGCAAACATACATTGTCCTGGATATACACGTGTGTGTCTGTGTGTGTGTGCACACAGAACAAGAACACAGTGGATGTGAGAGAGAACTTCTCTCCTATGCCCTGCTTCATTTATTATTCATTTTACTACAGATCACAGTCCATGGACAGTAGTATGGAAGATTCCTTTAATAACTCTCACTGCTAATTTAATTCTACTTAAACACACATATCCCAGTGAATGCCACGTGCTTTTCAGCAGGATTTTATGTGTAAATCAGAATAACACGTTTTCAGAGCATTAACTAAAAGGAAGCATGAACTAAAACCTATTTAACCAATGAGGTATTGCTTTTAAACTACCACAAGGTCATAGAAAAGATAATTTCAAAGCTATAAGTTTTCTAATTGTAATCACCAACAATCCAATGATGAAAGAAAGTCTATCTGAATGGCTCTCATAAACCTGTGCACAGCCTTGCTTATCTTTAAAGATCCTTTACTTTGTCATTTGGTAACATTTTCACTACCAAATTTTGCTGTGCAAAATTAAAATGTGGCCCTGGAGTTAGAAATAACATTGTCTTACTGCTCAGTCTTAAAGGAGCAGTGAAACTCAGATGCAGTTTTATTATTATATAACAAAGTCTATTTGTTAAGATTAGGTGCAACTCGACAATAAAATTGGAAAAGTCCAAAATGTGCTGGAAATCGACCTTTTCCTTATTTCTCAGCAATCTGTCACACAAACTCTGTATTGTATTTACTCACTTTCCTGAAGTCCTTCTGCTGATTTGGACCCAAACCTAATCCATCTGTTTGCAAGCAAACTGTTTTAACTGTATTTTTGAGCTCTAAGGTTTATGGGATTGCTCTTTTCTTTGATTTTGTTTTTCTTTTCCTTTAAAATGGTATGGATGTCACTCTACACTGTTCTTACTCAACAGCTACACCTACACATCTCTCAAGATCAAGATTTGTTGGGCTCTCACATTAGAATTCAAAACTGGCTTAAATTAATTCTTTCCATTGGCATTTATTCAACCAAAGCTAATTCTCCAGGATGGCCATGAAAAGGGAATGCAAAAGAGACACACCTACACCAGCTATAAATATAAAAGCTTTCTTGACAAAAAAACCCCCAACAACCAACCAAAACAAAACCACAGAACAAAACACTCACTGTGTTCAGGGTGTATTTGCTCAATTCTCTCATTTCCAATTGTTATGAAGAAAACAGCCAGAGGGGTTTAGAGCCTCAGTCACTGTAAATCAGCACATTGGAACTGACTTACAACTAAAGAACTTGGTGGATTCTGGCTCAATGTATTACCCATGGTTTATATCACTAATTATCAAACAAATTTTCTAAGTCTATCCAGTGAGTGCTCCTTGTCAGCACTTTCAACTTCTATTCTAAACCAGGTTCCAAAATGCAGGTGAGTCTCTCTCTATTCTTGGACTAGATCAGCTGTCCCTGATAGAATACACCACCATTCACAGAAAAAAAATGAAGTACATGATACACCTCTCACCTTCACAATATGTTAACTATACAACTGTTTTCATTCTCTAGTTCTTAAAGTTAACCATGTGACAAATTAGAAGCCAAAAAGGACAATTTTGTTAGGAAGAACTACTAATGCAAACCTATTCTTCTGAACTTCCAGTCCTCAGCTGAGATAATAAATCACATTTTGTTCAACAGAGTGTTTGTGTGATTGTTACATGCACAGAAAAAGCACTTTTTCCTACTCACCTCCTGGAGGCCTGACAAGTGTTACAGCATCACTTATCAAGCTGCCCTGGCTGTTGGATGCATTCACTTGCACTGTAGTTGCCAAGGTATTATCGGCAGTTCTGTTTGTACTGGCCACAGTTGGGAAGTGATTTGCCTTTGTGCCCGCTGCGGCCTCCGCTCCGAGGAACGGAGTGATGACAGTTCTCGTGTTAAACCCAGACTCTAATTGTCCCGCGATTGGACTTACTCTCGCTGTGCCGGTGGTCAGCGCTGCCCCTGTGCTCACAGGGCGGCGGCGGCACCTGCGACTGTCATGTGATCTCCCCCTTCCTCTCCTACACGTTGGGATAGGCTGGACATTGGCTGCTCTCAGCCTCAGCCCTGCTCCGCTTGTTATCGGAGCAGGCATTTTTATTGTCATGACAACCGTAAAGTTGTCGGCTGGTTTTAAAATTTCTACTACCCTTGCACCTGTGGCAGCTGCTTGCCTGGGATCAGCAGCTACAGGGGAAAGGGCTACTCCCTCGACGTTAGTTCGTACAGGCGGGGGAGGTTTTACATGGTTATTCATTCTCTTTGCCCTTGCTTTTCTCATGGTTCCCGGTGCCTTTGTTATGACTCGATCTACAGTCACGTTTGTTATGCCTGGGGCAACCCTCAGAACAGTAGGGGTAGGGCTGGGTCCCGTCACCTCTGCAAAGTCAGTGGCCCCAGCACTCCCTCCTGCCGCCGCACCTAATGGTTTTAGAGCTTTCACAGCACTCGCGTCTGCCACCCGTACTTGGGTCACACTAGCAGGGACTAAAGCCTCCTCGTCAGCCAAAGCAACAACTGGGACCAGCTCTGCCTGTCTCTGCCCCACTCTCTCTGTCCCCGGGTCTTCCCCTCCTTTCTCGCTTGCTAGTGTAGTTGGGACAAACCTTGTTTGTTTTTGTCCGGTTATGCGCACTCCTACAACACCAGAAACAGGCAGCAACTTTCTTTTCCCTGCGCCAGCTAGCTCTGTCACTGTGGTAACGGCCGTTCCAGAAACCTCCCCTGTGCTCTGAGCTGGGAGTTCCGTTGCCGTGGCAACGTCTGTTCTTAAAATTGCTCCACCGCCCACCGTACTCGCCTTCTGTTCTCTATTGCGATATACTGTCCAAGCTATATCCAATAACTCATCAATATCCTTTTCATTACCACCTGCTCTTTGCAGTTTTTTCTTTATATATTTGTGAACTGTCCTACAAACAAATACACTAGGTGTTTTTTCCCCAGGTCTGACTCTATATCAATATCAGTGGATTTCCCTGTGACATCCTTCAGCCTATTCAGAAAACCTGTGGGCGACTCATTCGTATCCTGTCTAACTTCATACATTTTAGACGAGGTTATCGTCTTTGTATTCGCCACTACAGTAGCACAGTCTGCTGTGTTTGCAGCAGCCAACCCTGGGGTCTCTCCTGCAATCGGGGCATGCAGCCCCGTTTTTACATCTCTCACGTCGCTATTGCCACTGACAGAATCAATGGCTCCCGTGCTTGTCTGTGGTGCTGGGCTGCTCGGTTCCACAAACACCCCTGGGGCTCTCGTCATTTCTGGGGCCGACACTTTCACTTCACTGCCACCGTCAGAGTCAGCGATCCCTACGCCTGTCGCCGTCACTACACTGGCTGGTCTTGGTGCATTTCTCGCCGCGATTTTTAAAGTCTCCCTTGCCTCTACAACAGATGCCGCTTCTATAGTAACTTTTTCTGGTATCACCACGCCAAAAGCAACTCTAGTAAAAGTTGACTTTTTAGACTTCACAGTTCTTGTCACGTCACTGGTAGAACTAACAACTTCAGTTCTCACTTGCTCTGCTATGCCTGCGCTCACCTCTGCTGTTACCATGACAAACCCATCTGCTCCGGCAAAGCCGCCGGAAGCTGCAAGGCAACGAGCTGCTCCCCTCACACTCACTGGAACAGGCAGGGAGGGTCCTGCTTCCATTGCCCCTGTGGGGCCAGGAGTCGCTCCTGCTGTTATCCCTGTTGCGATCAAATTAGACACTACCTCTGAGTTAGCTGTCTCCGCAGTGTCTGTATTACCCCTGCCCGGCTCTGCCACACCGAAAGCCGTTTTAACAAAAGCCGATCTTATAGATCTTATCTGCGCCGCTGTGCCTACTCCAGCTAAACCAACAGCCTCTGTTCTACCAACTACATCAGAAGGACTTCCTCCCACCACCCCCGAGCCAACTCCTCTGGAGGCCCCGATTCGCCCAATTCCTCCCGGTGCGGCCGCACTAGGGAGTCCTCCAGCGGCCCCTGCCTGCGCAACCCCTACCTGTCCAGCAGGAGCTGGTCCAGAGGCCGCCACCCCTGAAGCTCCAGGTCCCCCCCGCCACCGCAGCAGCACGGAGTCCTACCTGTGGGGCCCCCGGGCTATTTTCTCTCCTATCAGGTGGTATTAACATATCCAAATCATTGTCTCCCGTGTTTTTAAATAAAATTCGTGAGACAGGAGCAGTCTTGACTTTTCTTCTTCCCTTTTTCTAAAGCCATTTCTGAATTTTCTGTCTTTTCTGAGCCTTCATTTTTCTTATCTCCCTCTCTCAATCCAGGGTGTGTTAATAGAAGCATAAACAACTCTGCATACCGGATTTCTTCCCATTTCTGTTCTACATTAAGAAGTGAAATTAATTGCAACACTTTGTCTAGTTCAAAAGAACCAAATTCCGGCCAAGTTACCCCTCTCATTTGTCCAAACAGAGGCCAAGCACCTACAGACAGCCTACAAAGTTCTTCCTCTGTTAAAATTGTCTCAGGATCGGTCAAAGTTCTCCAGTGTTTCAAAATCAAACTCAGAAGAAACCCCTTAGGAATCTTAAACTTTGAATCCACACAACCCATGACTACAAAACACAAACAAACAACACACCAGAATTCGAACTCGTTACCTTAGGATTACAAAGCTGTTACTGTAACCACTTAACTACAGAGCCCACCCGGCACCTTGCAGCAACAGAGCACTCTGGAAGGGCATCCCCCTCCAACCGAAATGAAACCCAGTCCTAGGCTAACAAATCTGCTCTGATCTGCTCCCAGCGAAAAACCCCTTTCGCCTACTGGAAATTGACTCTCGCGACTATTTTGGGCCCAAGTCTAAGCTTTTCCAGTCTTCCCGTGTTCCCTATCTCCCCAGAAACACAAAAACTCTTTCACAGCTGCTAACAAAAGAAGGTACATTTTCCCCTTATTTTGCCTTTTCTTATCTCACCTCTGTGCTCCGTGCTAGGTTTTGTGGGTTCTGTGGAGCTGGCTTTCTCAGACCGGGGCAGGAATTATCTCAGATAAAATGCTGGTTTGATGAGGAATTCCTGCACGATGAAATATCTGATCTGAAGAAGTCCAAGTCCAAGTTTCCCCCTGCAGGCCAACAGCTGATGCGTAATGGTGCTGAGAAAAGAAAACTCCGGAGCAGTTAATTGAGAGTGAGATAAGAAAAAGGTTTAATTTGTGCCCAGGCATAGATGTTACAACCCACGCAGGCCATGCCTGAGATATTACAATTTATAATACTGCCCCACCAATCCAAGTCTTGTCAATCCCATTGCTTTTGCCCTGGTCCACCCCTGGGAATTGGGTCTGGGGTGTATTTCAGGACCACCTCTTCATCATCTTCATCTTCAGAGCACAGAGCGTACACAGTCACCCAGTTCTTGACTGTATTTTTGTGGTTAAGGCCAGGATTAGATGTCCTCAAACAGAAGAGGCCTGCCTTGACAAAAGACTAAACATTTTCTACTGAATTCAGGGGTAGAATTGATATGGGGAGCATAGAATGGGGTGAGAGGGTTGAGGAATGTATAAACTAAAGGGTGCTAAAGGGTGAGGGAATAAGGGCTGCTGCTTCTAAAATCTACTTTTACTACTTAACTACTTATAAAGCTTATAAAATTAGGAAAATAATAAAAAAAACAGATGGACCTTATGGCATCACTCTCCACACTTCCAGGGCCTCTCCCCGGTGTGGATGCGCCGGTGGATGACAAGGGTGGAGTTCTGCTTGAAGCCCTTCCCGCAGTCGGTGCAGCAGAGGGGCCTCTCATCCGTGTGTGTCCGCTGGTGCTGGAGGAGACTTGAGCTGGTCTGAAACCTCTTCCCACATTCCAAGCACTTGTAGGGCCGTTCCCCAGTGTGGATGCACTGGTGGGTGTGGAGGGTGGATCTCCGGTTGAAGCTCTTCCCACATTCCCCACATGCGTAGCGCCGTTCCCCAGTGTGGACGTGCTGGTGTCGGATCAGGGTGGAGCTGACATTGAAGCTCTTCCCACATTCCCTACATGTGTAGGGCCGTTTGCCAGTGTGGACGTGCTGGTGTCGGATCAGGGTGGAGCTGACATTGAAGCTCTTCCCACATTCCCCACACGTGTAGGGACGTTCCCCAGTGTGGATGCGACGGTGGGTGAGGAGCTGGGAACTCCATCTGAAGCTCCTCCCACATTCCACGCATCTGAAGGGCTTCTCCCTGCTGGGAGGTTGCTCAGGGACCACCAGGTCAGAGCTCTGCCTCAAGCTCCGGCTGCCTTCCCGGCACAGGTGCTCCTCAGAGCACCCTGGGCTGGCTTTGGAGCCCCTCCTGCGGGGGGATCTCTGGACCTTTTCCTCCCCATTGCCTTCCTGCACCGTGGAGCCCTTCAAAACGGCCTCTCCCACCAGGCTCTGCCGGGGGAATTTGTCCTCCAGGCTCTCCGTCCTCAGCTCGGGGCCTGGGGCAGGAAGCAAGAAGGACAGGGAGGGGATTTGCCTCCGGCCCAGAGGGAAGGCCAAGGACATCCCCCCAACTCCGGCCCCGGCAGGACGGCGGCGGCAGCGGGGTTGTCCTGCAGCCGGGGGCCATGCTCGGCTGCCAGAGCCAGCACAACACCGGCCCAAAGGGCCACTGACTTCCTCCTCACCTGCCTGGGGGGCCCGCGGCATCTTCCTTTTCCTCACAGCCTCCTCCTCCATCCACCCAAGCTTTGGGAAGGACAAATCCTGATGGGGGGGAAAACAAGGGCTGAACGCGTTGGCTTGGGGGTTCCTCCTGCCCAAGTCCATCTCTAGAACTCATTGGGCATCCTGTGTCCATAAAACCTGCCAAAACACAAAGATTCAGCCCAGAAAAAACCCAAACCTCCGAGATTCAGGCAAAACCCACCTCAAAAATAGCAAGAAGACCCTCGCCCACCTAAACTGCAAAAAGTTGAGATTCAGCTAGAAAACTACTCCAAAATATGAAGGTTAACCCAAAGAAATTATCCCAGCAGTTACCCCTCTCTGGTCTCTCCCCTCTGGGGTTGGGAATAGCTTCCCTTTCTGAGATGCTAGGGGTCCCACTCAGGGATGCTGGGAGTCTTGGGGGTCCCAAGGGTCCCTTCTCCTCTGACTCTCGCCTTCCAGGTGCCTCGTTCCCAGACATTCCCCCCCTCCAGGTTCTCCACTCTGTTGTCCCAGGGATCCCAGAGGTCCCCGCTGTCCAGGTTTCCCCTTCTCTACACCCCCCGTTCAAGGCTCCCGGGGGTCCCAAGGCTCCTCCCTCTCTGTGCTCCCCCCTCCAGGCTGCCGGGGGTCCCCCAGCTCCGACATCGACCCGCTCCGCCCTCCACACTCGGCAGCTCCCAGGCTCCACACCCACCCCCGGCACTCCCAGGGGGGCCCCAAAACCGCTGTGTCCCCCCCACCGGCACCGGGCTGACAATGGAGCCGGCGGGGCCTGACCCAGCAACACCAACCCCCACCATGGGGGGGGACCCACATCCCCCCGCCCACCACCGGGGCTTTGCCGCCAACCCAGCCCGGCACCCCCAAAAAACACCTCCCGACAACCCCCAAGAGCCCCCAGAGGTGGAGCAGGAACAGGAACAGCAGGAGAACAATTGTCCCCCCCCATCCCACGGGTGCCCGGGAAGGGGAAATTCGTCCCAAATATCCTGGGGGGAGCGTGGGGGGTCAGGACATACTCGGGCTGCCAGCACAGATTTCCCTGCAAAGTCTGCAGTGAGTCAAGCTCTGCAGAGGAGATTGTGCCCCATGGATGGGATTGCAGAGGGGCTCTCAGGTCCCCAGCAGGAATCAGCAACCAGGAATACACACAAAAGGACCCCCCGGAAGAGTTCGGGGGGAGTGTCCTGTAGGGAGGGGACAGTGTCACCCCACCAGGGCAGGGCTGGCAAGTGGGAGGCTGCTCCAGGGCTCTGCAAGAGGCCTCGTGCTCTGCTCGGCCCCAGCACTGGCTGGTCCCAACACCCCTGGCTGCCCCCAGCCCTGGGCAGCTCTGCTGCCACAGGCTGTGCCCTCACCGTGGCCCTGCAATGGCCCTGCCTGTCCCTCACCCGTGGCCCTGTCCCTTGGCTCTCTGTGCCAGCTGAGTGTGGGGCACACAGGCTGGGGGTCCCTCCCAAGCCCCCCGGGCAGCCGGTGTTGGCTGGGGGGATGTGAGGGCTGGGCCTGCTCAGCACAGCCCTGGCCTCGTGCCCAGCGCCTCTTTCCTGCCCCACACAAGAGCTTCCCGGCCCCCCCAGGGCTCCTCTGCTGCTGCCTCTGCTCCTGGCCCTGCCTTTGCTGCTCCCTTGGCTGTGCCAGCGGCTGCAGGGGGGGGATGGCAGCAGCTTCAGCTCCACGGCAGTTCCTGGGGGGAGCTCAGCCCGGGGAGGACGGGCAGGGACTTGATGGGGATGGACAGGGGCCCAGC